AGACTAAGTCACAAAACCTTAACAGTAGCTAGCTCCCATTACGGCCACTGTAAGCTGCACTCATTGAGGCGCCCAAGTTCACCGGCTTGCGCAAGGCGACGCCTAGGACGCGTGGCGCAAGCGCATCTGCCTTTGTAGTTTGACACCCAGCGTGACATTGACGCACTTTTCATTTACTTACCCTAATTTACCTTAGTCTGACGCAGTTAGACTACTTTTAGGCCTATGCTCTGCATAGACATCCTGTGGCATGATGATGATGATGAAGCCTACTTTCAACGCAGCCTTAGTATTTTTTGTAGACATATTTTTGAGTGAAAACATGTTGCGATTGCTATTATTGTTCAGTCCATTACAATCAACTTCAAATCCCATAAATAAATCAAAATCATCTTAAAGTCTATTGACGCGGAGTGTAATTTATTATTTTAATAAATATTTTGTACAAAAGTAATTATCTAGCTAGAGCGGAACGTTGTCCCCTCCAAACACTGCTACTGTGTGTACTTACACCTAAACTTATAAAACCTAAAAATAAGATTAACAAAGGCCATAGGGTGCACCAAAAATAATAATCACAACAAATGGGAAAAGCTAGAAGTTTAAACTGACATTATCACTCTCGCACATAGGTAATCCCTAACGCGTTATTAACAAACAAAAATGTTTACGTAATGGACATGGCGCACAATTTTTGTTGAAGATGCCAAAAAAAACTACAAAAAAATAGAATGAATACTGTATTTTTACTTTTTTGATATCTTTAAAAATGACTGAAATATTCAAGCTCAAAGTGCGCTCTTCCGCTAGGAGCGATTTTCCGCGCGGATTTTGAAAATGTGACGTAGTAACATGAAAAGCTGCATGTAAGATATTATCTGTGTACAATGGTTAGAATGGTTAGTAGGGGAGCCGAAGCGGGGATTTCGGGACTTACTAAAGAGTGGCAGACTAACATACAAGGAAATACTTTGTACCTGGTTGATTACCTTTAAGTATGAATTTTTGATATAAAACGGCATTAGTTCTTATGCCTCTCACCCAAAAAATACCTCAATTAAGCCCAAATTTGAGACCGCAGCCAAACTTTGAGTGACGATGGAAACTAGCCTAGATGGAGGACACATGAAATTGAACTTCTGCTTCTTCATTGATAAAGACTTATCATTTACCATACCTTATCATTTTGTATTCCATTTTCAAGTCACTTTTTTTTCGCTTACTGTTTAAACAAAACGTGGGATTTTTTTAAATCTCAGGTCTTTTGAACGCACATCTGAACGATGTCTGGTTTTAATTTCTTCAGTTACTCCGTGACCATGGCGCTTGCAACAGTGCCGAAATATTGGAAACTCAAAACTAAGGTACATGGTAGCAATCCCGTCAGTAATAATAATAGGAAAATGTCTTGAAAAATAAGTAAATCGTATATTACTTTATGTAACTAATTTTATTATGTATCATACTTATAACTAATCACTTCATTCAGAACTAGAAAACGATTCCAAGGATTCCACTTTTCTTCAATAGATGATCAAGATAAAGAGGTATTTATTATAAATTGCTCTTCCACCATTTCAATTATTCTATCTTACATCTTACTTGATGAAATCTTTTTCAATTTTATTTACATGGTCATAACATTTTCACCATTCCTCTGCACCAATTTGTGAGGTACACCTGAAACCCCCGATAAAGCAGCTATTATAAGAATAATATTTAAAAAAAACCCTCCTTCTGACGCAGTTAGGTAATAAACTAAATGTATCCAATTTCACTCCAACTTACTGTCAACTCAACGACGCGCTTTAAAATCAAAGATTGACTTTGAATTATGCCTTATTTTACAATACACATTGAAAACAATATGACTTGCTTGAGCTTTTTCGACTTTTTCACAAAAATAACAAATAGGCATGAAGAGATTACAAAATTTCTGCAGCGACTGACAGTTCACTTGATTTACTTTGACAGGTGACAATAAAGCCATAGACATTTGCCATATGAAAGACACACTTTTCCAATATTTTTGTTTGCCATGAGATTCTGGTACACCTATACCTATCATTTAATGAAAAGATAAACTAAATTTTTTCAGCACAACGAAAATCTGCTTTGGCGCGTAGCAATGCAACGTGACAACTGCAGTTCGGACTTCTTTATGCGTCCACTACACATACAATAAAATTCGAACTATCGCACATTTTTTCTTTTTAATTCTAATTCAGTAAAAAATGTTTTTGAAACCTTCATTCAAAATTCAAAAGTTATTATCATATGACAGAACTTATGACCAGACTATGTACATTGAATAAAATATTTTTCTTTTTATCATCAAGCTTAGCAGTCTAATAAGTTACTATGACACTCGAGTTAATCCACATTCAGCACCATAGCCTCCCCTTCTACAAGGCCCTCTACAAATGTCAAAACGTCACTTAACCCTTTTAGCACCAGTTCTTTTGTTTTTGAGAAGATGTACCCAAATTTTTATATCAATTAAATTATAGTCCAGTCGTTTGGTACAAATTAACGTGGTTACCTGGAAAGTGTTTCGGGAGTTTTGAAAATTGGTGATTAAAATAGATTTCGCTGTGCTCTCTGTTAGTCTGTTAGTTAAGTGTGATTGCCGCGCTCGGTGCGAAATTGGAAAAATGCTGCCTTAGAGAAGATTTTTGATAGTTACATTCTTTCCTATTTCGTCGTTACAGCCAAATTAATGACGTTCACTACTGGACAAGGGCGAGAATCCTTTGGGTTTTCCATAGGTTTTTCATAATGAACATTCCTGCGCTGCCCGCATTCAGGTTCTTCCCGCGACCTTTACCAGATCGTCGGTCCACCTAGTAGGAGGTCTGCCCACGCTACGTCTTCCAGCCCGTGGTCGCCACTCAAGAAATTTTCTGCCCCAATGGCCATCGTCTCTACGAGCTATGTGTCCCGCCCACTGCCACTTGATTTTAGCAATTTTGCGTGCTATGTCGGTCACTTTGGTTCTCCTGCGGATCTCCTCATTTCTGATTCGATCACGCAGGGACACCCCGAGCATAGCCCGCTCCATCACCCTTTGGGTGACCTTGAGCCTTCTTATGAGGCCCATAGTAAGCGACCACGTTTCAGAACCTTAAACTTTCCTATTTATTTCACGACTAGCTTTTGCCTGCGGCTTCACCCGCGTGAAATTTAGTATCACAGATCGGCATAAATTATAGCCTATATGTTAATCTGGGTTACAAACAATAATATTATACAGTCTCAACAAAATCCGTTGAGTACTTTTTGCGTGAAAGAGTAACAAACCTGAGACACGGGAATCTTCCTAGTTCAGGTATCAACCCACCAACATTCTTACTTTTTGTTTTTCCTGATTGTTTGTTATCTTAATAATATTATCTGTTATGTTGGTGAGAAATAAACATTACTTTACTTTATTTTAAACTTCCAGACATCCAAACTTTCGCATTTACCAATAATATTAGTAGGATACAATTATGTAATGTAGAAACAAACAAGACAAAAAAAATTATACTTAAGCAACGCGAATTTTTTTATACTTCAGCATATTTAAATAAGTTAAATATTGAAAAAAGAACTCGCAATTTAGCAGGTACATTAATTTGACTGTTTCACAACTCTAAATCTATTTAACTTACATTACATGAAATTTATCACATTTATCAAAGCTTCTTAGCTTGTCTATGTCCCAAAAATTATTAAATGAAAAAAGTAGTTGTCAAAAACCTTTTTAAGGCGGATTTTTTTCAATAAAGCGGGCGCGCGCGCGGCTATAAACTAGGTCGCAAAATTCGGAAAGAACATAGCGAAATCTATTTATTCACCAATTTTCAAAAATTCCGGAAAACTTTCCAAGTAAAATTAACAAATAACTGGACTATTTACTCGTTATTGAGCACAGAGACACAAACTTAATTATTTTTCCAGAAAATTTATATTTAAGTGCATAAATGTAAATATGGCTTCATATTGCACAAAATTGGCAATAGGTGGCATAATAATGGTTACTTTTTTAGCGCCTAGTTTCAAATGTGATTGAACGATGACAACTAACAACAGTTGTCAGTTAGGTAAAATTTTATTTTAGTTGGAAAAAGACAAAAAGTGGTAAATGGGTTAACGTGCGGGGCTGCAAAATCATGTTGTGACGTCACGCGCGAATATTGGAAATTTTTGAAAATTTTAAAAAGTCCGTAAACTTCTCGAGGCTCTATCTTCGGTAATACTGGATGGATTGAGGTGAAATAAAAACTAGTGTAATGTGTGTGATCTAAACTTTAAATTAAGTCATAATTTAACTTAATATTACAACTTATGCGTGTTGTCCATTAGTGAAGACTTTTTTTCACTGAAATAAATGAAACCTGAAACACGTGTATACGCGCATATTTCTCAGTAACATCTAATAGCCTAAGATAAATTTATAATGCGGTGATAAAAATATACGAGAAGTACACATTTTTAGGATCTAAGCCAGGGTCATTGCCAGAAGCTTTCAGACGACTGAGGCGGTGCTCTGAAGTCAGATCATGTCCCCAGCATATAACCTGAATACAAAGTCTTTCACTAGGATGTGGTAAATTCGGCCCCATTTGCATGCGAACCACACGAGCGTTTTTATTACTAAGTTTTTAAACCGAACTTGAGTAGGTATTTTACTTTGGGTGCTGGACGTACTTATTCTTACATAACCACTCACAAAGTAACTTTTTTAACATGTCATTTTGTGTGAAAGTGCCAAATAAAATATTTTCTTTTTTTATACCTTTTTAGTTGGTAGATCTTTGTAAATAAATAATAATAATAATACCTATGCTCATGATTTTCAAAAACTTGCAGAATTAGGGACTTTAATTTTTAGATTTTTATGCAAACGGTTAAGTTCATCGATCCCAGTCCATGAGGGTGTGAGCTAGTTGATGCTCCTAGGAAAAGAAAGCGTCTGTTGTCGTAATTTGTCCTAATTGTGGTGTAACTTGTTGCAGGTGTTGTTGACGCTGGCGGTGCTGGGGCTCGCGGCCGCGACCCCGCGCAAGCACAACAAGCGCGATGGTAACCCCCGCTACCACCCGTTTAGCCTCAGAGCCTCTACCTAAAACCTTTTGACGCACAACAAGCAATTTCAATGTTCTAATAAACAAATATGGAGCTTTAGTTTTTAATCCAGTTAATGTGTTGCTCCCGTTTCCCCCGTAAGCTGCTTACTACATGCATTTTCAATGACACATCTATTAATTAAATGGTAGAGGCTCTGATATACAAACTAGGATTCTATACGATGCCAAGTAAAGCACCAATACCTTTGTTCGCAGCGCCGCTGAGCTCGTCGTACCTGCCTCCGTCCAGCGGAGGGTTCGGTGGCGGCCGGCCCTCGTCCTCCTACGGCGCCCCACGCCCCTCTTCCAGCTACGGCGCCCCCAGCCGGCCCTCCTCCAGCTACGGAGCCCCGAAGCCGTCTAGCAGCTACGGCGCCCCCGCACCATCCAGCTCCTACGGCGCGCCCGCCCCGTCGTCCAGTTACGGAGCCCCGGCACTTTCTTCGAGCTACGGAGCACCTTCATCGAGCTACGGAGCTCCTCGTCCCTCGTCTAGCTACGGAGCGCCCAAGCCCTCCAGCTCGTACGGAGCCCCCGCCAGACCACCCGCGACTAGCTACGGCGTCCCCACCGGTCCTTCGACCACCTACGGCGCTCCCAAGCCCTCGAGCAGCTATGGCGCCCCCGCCTCCCGCCCCTCTTCCAGCTACGGCGCGCCTAAACCGTCAAGCTCCTATGGCGCCCCCGCCCCCTCTAGCTCCTACGGTGCCCCCGCTCCGTCCAGCTCCTACGGCGCCCCAGCACCTTCAAGCTCTTACGGCGCCCCGGCTCCCTCAAGCTCCTACGGCGCTCCTGCCCCCTCAAGCTCGTACGGTGCCCCCGCTCCTTCTAGCTCATACGGTGCTCCATCATCTGCCCCGTCCAGCTCCTACGGCGCCCCGGCTCCGTCTAGCTCCTATGGCGCCCCCGCTCCCTCATCTTCCTACGGCGCCCCATCGTCCGGATCTGGCGGCTTCGGAGGTAGCGGATACAGCGGCAGCGGCTTCGGCTCCAGCGGTTTCGGCGGCAGCGCTCCCTCTTCCAGCTACGGCGCCCCGTCCGCTCCCTCCAGCAGCTACGGCGCCCCCGCCGCCCCGTCCAGCTCATACGGTGCGCCCAGCTCTGGCGGCTTCTCTGGTGGCTTCTCTTCTGGTTCTGGCTCTAGCGGATTCTCGTCCGGCGGCTACTCGTCCGGTGGCTCCGGCGGCTACTCGTCCGGCGGTTCAGGCGGCTACTCGTCCGGCGGCGGATCGGGCGGCTACTCGTCCGGCGGTTCCGGCGGCTACTCGTCCGGCGTGCCCGCCACCATCAACCAAGGCTACGACTCCAACGGTGGCTACGTATACTAGGTTTACATCATTCTCCATACTGTGAATTGGAATATAGTCAATTTGTTAAGTTACCGTCTGTTTGCGAGTGGAATTGGGATAGTGGAAGGTGCAATATTTAGAGTAGAGGCCACGGAATGTGTGAGTCTTCACGGCTCGAGACGGTCAGTACTTATGTTAAATTTAACACGGTAAAGTGAATCACGAATATGTAGTCTCTCTATTTATTCAGTCGCCGTACTGTCTCTACTGTTTGTGAGCTCGACGCTAAACGAAAGTATTAAATTTATTTAATTATAATGAACTGTACAAAAAATTAGATTAAGTACGGAAATGATTTTGTATAAATTAAATCTTTTGTAAATAAGTAAGTGTCGAGTTATTATTTTATGCACCTTTGTCAACTAAACACTTCGCCAGAGAGCCGCGACGCGACGAGTGAAACAGCCGGTCAACGTACTATATTTTTATTATGTCGCAGGAGCGGCGGCAGAGTTCACAACATTACACATTTTTTTCACATTTTCAAAATATTCAACAAGAACTAGGAATAAGTCAATAAATAGTAGGTATATCTAATAACTAACAGTGGGCCCAGCGTTTCCTAATACCGCAATTCATCATTACTTTAAACTCATCTTAGTAAAAATATCAAATATTCCTACTTGTCTAAAGACCAACATAACACAAATAAAAGCATAGGAAACCACACAAGTGAAAATGCGTGGGACGGATACTTTTTACAGCTACAGTGAGGGTATAATCTGAAAAGCTTGACGATCGTATTTATTCATATATTCATACGATCTCTACAATTCGTGGGATATTAATAAATATGTATGTAAATCGGTATCTATTTATGGTTCTCGTTGCTCAGATACCGAGTATACCGGTAACTTTAAAGGACGACGTTCTAGCAATAAAAATATAAGTATTTATATTATATTATCATCTTTGCTACAATACTTAGATGGATCAAGCGAAAAGGCTATATTATACGAGTATTGGGTATGACATAGAAGATGGTATCTTATTAGGTATTAATATAGGTATTAATCGTAGTTTATTATTGGCTCTATCATCAAAGTTGATCATATTTTCGGGGTATACTGTAGACTGACGTATCTGTATGAATATTAAAGTGCGTTAATCGCCCTTTAAAGCAGTGCCAGTAATGCTAACTGCTACTGTAAAGTACGTAGCTATAAAATCACAATCAACTAACAAGCGCACGAGTATTAGAAAACGGGGCCGAAAGAACAACAACGATCCTATTCTACTCTTACAAATATTGATATGTTTCGTTCCACACTAAATATCTATGATATGTATATTTATTTATATAATATGTATAGGTATATTTAATCACGCAGACATGATATGTATCGTATTTGTAGTCTTAGCATACAGTATAATAATATAGTTACACTCGGGCGACTATCACCGCTAGTATAGAAAGGTCATCATATAATTTGGTATCACATTGGAAATTGCGCAAAAATAAAGTTATAAATACATCTCCAATATTTAGGTATATAATTTGATACGTAGGTGTAACACCTACGATAATAAATCTTTAGTAAAACAATTTCTGAAAGCCGATAGAATAAGGATCAAGCAGACTTAGCGGGAGTTTTCGCAGATTACGCAGAAACCCTTACAGGGAGTGTTATTGTGACCTCGATACCGTATTCTGCAGTAAGCGAAGTTATAAACCCAACAGCATTTTAACAGCAGCTAAGTCTTTATGACCCTTTATTTACACCTATATAACTCCAAGATCAGATGAGAACTTAGCGTACACTGTGATCAAATAGGAAATACATTTAAAAAGCGTCAAAATAGTGACGAACATCGATTACAAACACTGATCGAAACACCGGGCGCAGAGCTCGGCCGAGCGGCGGCTGCGCCGGGCGGGCGGCGCCCACGGGAAGGGATATACTGAACACCGATTACAATAAGTTCCTATATAAAAAAGTGGATTCGCACTATCAAAGCCATTATATTTTGAGTACATGTCACCACATGTTACAAGCTATATCTTCTTAAAGATATTTCACGAAGTAATGCAACTGTATTAGGCCGTCTAAATTGAACAAAGCCACAATTGTCTGAATTTAAACAATTGCAGGAGATCGTGCTTTTATAAGTGTTACTTACAGCGGAGGTTTACGTCCAGCTGTGCACTGCCTTTGGCTGAAAGGATGGTGATGATGATTATTTTTTTCAGTTCGAGCCTGACAAGTAGACGGTTGTGTGATATTGCTATATCATCATTTTCAACAACGTTAATCTTGTCAATTTTGGCCGATGATGCGAATCCACCTCATAAATGCCCATCGATCTTATCAATATGTTAACGAAGCTGAGAACCTTATAGCTAAAATATATAATAAAAACAATATAAAAATGAATTTCTATATAAATAAATTATGTCTTTTAAGCTTTGCTTATACAGAATTACAGCCACTAAATCGCACTGACTATTCTAAAAAAATTACGTATATGACCGCTTGTACAGCGGCGCTTAGAAACTTAAAACAAAGACAATAGTCACAAATATTCGATCGTATTCATAAATCAACGATATTAAATCCATTACTCTACTAATATTTGCTTTGCAAGCGATATGTTCATGTCCATATATATTTCAATCATTCAACGTACAGATAGATACATTCGAATATTACTTTGGTCACGTGTAGTCAATATATTATGTGATAGTTCTACGACGCACATACACTTGTCTCATGACCTATGAAGCACGCAACATATTATGTGCTCTCAATTCTCTACTTTAATTGACTTAAATAAGGAATCTTCTTCAATATAAACAATATAATTTATAAAATCTCTTCTAACAACGAACTAAGACTTTTTATGATATGTATCAGTTGCTTTTATACAATTAGCTACAAAATAACTCACTTAATCATTACACATCCACTAAGAACATAGTCTATTGCTTCTTCTTACCTGCTACATACATTCGCTGCGGTCGGTCTCGTGCGGTCCACGTCCAGGGTCTGCTCCGCACGTCGGGCTCTCTCACTCACGCAGGAGTGAGGAAGACAGACAAAATACAGAAGTCGTCAGCGGAGTAGCTGAGGCTGTGCACTACTCGTAGCGCTACGTAAACTTACAAAGTGAGTTCGGAAGATACGGCGATATGTCATAACTTTGAGCATACATTCTAATTCGAAAAATACTGAAGATCAAACGGTTCCCCATTTCGATGTAGTTTAGAAATGTGGTCGATTCGAAGTCGAAGTCTGCGCGGACAGTAAAATCGTCATAAAATATGCCTCCTTGTGCTCACGAGCCTACCAGCTGGGGCCCGGCCAGACGGAGCTGCTCAGTTACGCAACTGTTGCAAAATGGCTAATATTTGGAAAGAAAACCTATGTCTAGCCTTGTATTAATTTATCATTACCGCTTGACCTCTGATGTGAAGTCAAACAGAGATTTAGCAATGGGCATCGCATGTTTACCCACACTCATTTTACACAATAAACTTAAACGCAACATTTACTTAGATCTTGTAAACTTTGATATAATAAAACTCTTGAAAGTGTCTTTCGGCATATCATGCTCGAAAATAACAAAATAGTATCAGGGTCCTAATCCAGGTACCAATGGACTCTACCTATAGACTCCAAAATTGTTAAACTGTTTTTATCTGCTTCACATTGTTTGATAATATGTTACTTACCTTGAAATCTGTGAAACATATTTAAATTAATAAGGTAGAGTCGGATTCTGTAGTTCGACCCCTCTACTTCTGGAATGAAGATGCGCGAACATTAGCAAATAAAATCGATCTAATTTTGAACACGTCTGGCTGCGCCCCACCCGCTGAAAACGGTCTAATAGTTATGCATATCTCAGAAAGCCGTCTGCTTGCCGAAGGGCTGGACCGGCGGCGGGGCGTTGCTGGAGCCGAAGAGCGGCGTGGGCCCGTCGTTGGGGTCGTCCAGGTCGTCGTCAGGCTCCAGCGCGGGGTTGACGCGGCCGCTGCTCTCGTCGGGCCCGGCCAGCGTGGACGCCGCGCCGTACAGCCGGCCCGGCACGCCGCCCAGCACTGACATCTGCTCGCCCGCCTCGGAAGGCTCGTCCACGCGGCGGATGTCTTCGGGGATGTTGACGACGCAGTTGAAGTAGTCCGACTCGGGACTCAGGTAGCCGGAGTTGAAGAGGTACCTGTTGGATAAGTTCTGCTCTGCCGTCACTTGAACGAACAAACTTATGTACGGCTGTTTTTCATTTCAGCTAAACGGCGAACGTTTGAGAAATGAGCATGAGAGGTAATATACGCATCGCGTGAAAAAATTGTCAGGAAATCTCTGTTTGATAGACACTCGTTTTATCTTATTGTTAGGTGTATCATGTAAACTAAACGTTAGAAAAACTGAAATTAGTTTTAAAGTTTTGCCATTAATCATCTTTAGACATTATGGAACAATATTTGGTTAGGTAAGTAATTGGTATCAGTTATCTTAACGATATAATAACCCTCGATCCAACTACGAAATAGGTTTAAAATGACACAATATACCTAGTTTAAACTTTCTATTTTACTAGAATGACATTACATTATGACTGATCATCGATAATAATAACAATTACGAAGAGTTAGATTCCCTTCTAACGTTTATTTATCGGCTCGTGAGGAGCGACCGTCACTTTCCTTGTCCGAAATCTGAACAACGAGCTGCATTTTCAACCTTAGTCCATTGAATTATGAGTTAAATAATTTGGGAGCTGGTATACATAGCGACGCGTCCGTCCGTCACGACGCCGTTAGGCCGATTGTAAACATCCGTTTTTTTGACCGGACAACGGCCCGATTTTTTCACCGGATTTAGCGGTGGCGTATGATTTATAATGAACGTGTGCACATGCATCGGACATAGGTCCGGCGAGAAAATTAACAGCAAACAAAGGATATCAGTTTTTTGACGGTCCGTCGTCCGGTGAAAAAACGGATGTCTACAAACGGCCTAAGTCAGCGACTCGCCCGCACCGCGCAATTACTCGCAGCCTACGAGGAGCAATGTCGTGCGGCTCTACATTGTTGCTGGGACCGCGCGGATAAATTACACTCAATAATGATGTTCTAATATATCGCCCGCGCCGATAATGTACACCTAATAGCCCCTCACCACACGAACTCTATACATGCGTGAAGGATTATTAATTTTGGTACCGATTTTGTAACACAGCCGTTTTAAAGCCGCAGAAATAGAGCGTTTAAAAGTTCTTCAAAGCTAAAGACACCAAAAGTTCGTTGGTTAAACGATTTTGGCAATTTAAAACCCTGTTATAAATTGAATAATTAATTATTACTTTCTCCAAAACTTCTCAGGATATTAGAATTGCACGTAAATTTTCACACTTAAGTAAAATAGGATTCGTGTTATCCTCAGATTCTAAGAAAATTACAGTACCCATTTATTATTTACCTTATAACAATGAGTTTTTAGAATTGGCATAATTATTATGAGGTAAAATAAATAGAACTTCGCTGCGAAATACGAAGCCAATCAGCATAATGAGCCCGTCGCTAAGGGCCGGGGCCTTCGTGAATATTTAACGATATCGGAAAATATTGATTTCGGCCGTGATTAGCGTACATTTCCGGCGTTTTAACAGTACTTATTCAGATAGAAACAATAGGATCGTACTTAAATCCATTTGAAAATGTTTTTGCATTTTATTGTCTCTATCATATCGTACGTATGTACGAAACCCTCGTTGTTCCACAATTAGGAAGCCGCGCGCCTAAAACGCATCTCATGTCAACTTAGTTGCCCATCACATATGTAACGGGACCATACTTGACACAACATGGGAATACCATCAGCCATGGAGATTTTCGCTGTAAATCTCGTTTATCAATTTGCAACGATTGCTTTTTGAATACTGAATAAAAAAAGATTGTACTCACTTTTACTCGCTTGTACTTATCTAGTATCCTTCAAGATAACATATACACTGTATACCCAAAAACATTGCGATGAAAATAGTAATTTTCTTAAGACTTAAACTTTTTTTGAAACGGAATAACTGAAATAAGTAGTCGATAACCTGAAAATCAGGACTTATCACAGCGAAAGATAATTATGTACTAAACGGCTAATGGCTATACCTACGAGTACTACAGATAATGATAATATAATTCATCTTCTATAGCATTAAGCGTGTAGAGCGCAAAACTTTAGCCGCCAGTAACGTTTGATAAACGGAAAAGCTTTATTTCTTTAGCCAATAAAAAACCTTAAGTTAGGTAAGTACTTTTGTTTCTGTACTAAAGTTTTTTCTATCAAACAAAGTTTTTCTATTTGTTATAATATAGGTAAATCGAGTTTTACAAAAATCTGTAGTCAAGATGGCTAGATCCTGAAGCTGAAAAAGACTAGCTTCCCACTGAAAAGTTGTCTTAAACTAGTTGAAAAAAGTGGTACTCACACGGACAGCCAGGAGATGAAGGCGAGCGTGAACAGCGACAGCACCATGGCCATGGTGCGGAACGGGAACAGCTGCACCTGGATTTATTATTTTTTCAATTAATATCTTGCACAGAATTCATTTGTCTTTTTACCCGACTGCGCCAGAAGGAGTGTTATGTTTTTTGTATAGTTTTTATGTAACATACTGTTATTACTGAGCGGGCGCTTGGTAAGAAAGTAAAATCTGCTGTTGTCTATCTATGGTTATATTTTTTTGTGTAATATGTTGATATCTTATATCTCGGGTCGTAGAAAACACAGCGCAGGACTGGACATTGTGGAAATCCTTGGGGTAGGCCTTTGTACAGCAACGGGACTTGACCGCCAATAAAAACCCAATCAGTGAAGGTCAAGTTTGTCCAACCAGTGAAAGGAAAGTTAAACTGTCATTGGACCCGCAACGAAATTAATTAGAAGTTGCTTTGTACAGCAGGGGACATCCTTTGGCTGAAATGATTGTTATGAATAAGCTGACAAATGTGACCGATTTTCTTTTCAGCACCAGCCGATATGTTGTCCCGAAGTGGTGGTAGGGCAGCTATATTGGGACGTGTATGGCTGTCGCTCACACGATCAACAGTCGAGGCGGAATAGAGGCGCGTCGCTCACAGGATTAACATTCCAGACGGAGTAGAGGCGCGGACGCATACGGCACGCCGCACAAGGTTTTCTTTAGAAACAAATGGGAAAAAACAACGCTTCGCCACCACCGCGACGTCCCGCCTCGACTTACCAGTGAGCGACGCGCTTATGAGACTGTTCTGAAAAGGGTTTACACACTAATAAAGAATTTGAAAGATTAATAAAGTCGCTGACATAGCCCGACGGATTAGCAAGCTGAAGTGGCAATGGGCAGGGCACATAGTACGCAGAACTGACGGCCGATGGGGCAGCAAAGTTCTGGAATGGAGGCCGCGTACCGGAAAACGCAGCGTGAGACGTCCACCTACAAGGTGGACCGACGACATCGTAAAGGTAGCAGGGAAGCGCTGGACGCAGGCCGCTACCAGTCGATAAACGTGGAAAGCATTAGGGGAGGCCTATGTTCAGCAGTGGACGTCCTATGGCTGAAATAATGATGATGAAAGAATTTGAATCGTATACTATGTTACCTCGTTGACGGGGTCCCAGCCGGGGTAGTGGATGAGCGCGGGCAGGCCGAGCATCTTCTCGCCGCCCGACATGCGCACCAGCAGCGCCACGACGTACGCGGCCAGCGAGCCGTACGTGTTGCAGTACTTCTTGAAGTGCACCACCATCAGCAGTTGCGGGAACAGGATCACGTACACCAGGTCCGAGCACATCGACCTGCGGGCGCGACTCGTTACAACGGCAGGCTAGGTTTGAGGTAGTGCCGGATTAACCCATAAGCATATTAAGCAATTGCTTAGGGCATCACGTCTTGGGGGAACCTAAGAGCCTAAAAAATTGCTATCACATTTCTATTTTCCGAGAATTCAAGATCCGTAAAAGTCGCAAGTCGCATTTCGTTAACTTTTACTGCTTGCAGGGGGTACAGGTGTGAATTGATTAGTTAAAGCATCAGTAGAATCCCGCACTGGGTTTAGGTAAGTGTTCGATTGATCTTCTTGCTTTTGGAGAAAATACGAATACGGATACAAATAACGAACTGTGATTCAACAACAATCATGTTTTTTGTTGGCTAGGCTTTGGGTGTAATAAAAAAAACACACACACACATAACAACAAAAGAATATCAATACATATAGGTATCGGTTTATGGTTTCATACATTATTTCAAATATGCGATGGTTGGAAATACGCGTCACCAAAGTTCATCTCGCACCTAATAGTAACGGGTAAAATCATTTTAAAAAATACATTTTCGGCAGCCAACTTTACCTTTGATGAATCCTACTAATATCCTACTAATATTATAAATGCGAAAGTTTGGATGTCTGGATGTTTGTTACTCTTTCACGCAAAAACTACTGAACGGATTTTGATGAAACTTTACAGTATTATTTTTTATAACCCAGAATAACATATTTATGACGATCTGTGATAAACGAAATTTCACGCGGGTGAAGCCGCGGGCAAAAGCTAGTCTGTTATAAATATTAGTACACACCCACGATAAAATAAAGCTCAAAGTACACAATATTGCGTGATGTTGCTCACGCAAAATGAAATAAGTTTTTGCAAAGTTATTACCTACTTTAGCCTTTAAATATTGCCAATTACGGTTGCGTACATAGGTGTGCATTATTTATTATGTTATAGGTTAATGCAAATGACGCTTATAAAATAATAACGGTACACACCCACTTTTTCGCTAAACGCAATTTTACATTCAAATTATATGCGGACTTAGACTTTATATGTAGGTATAGTTAAATTCTTAATACTGTAATAACGTCGTTCTCACTTTGGGAAAATGGCGGCAAAGCTGCTTACCGTTGAAATTGTTTAATGATTGTACTAATATCGTGACCGTCCTACTCATCCTTCGTATTCATCATAATATTGGTATTTATGACAATCTGTACGTACTTTGATGTACCTAATCGAACATAGAATCGTGCCTTCTCTTAAATTATACAAAATGAGAGGTACTAAGATCCAGCGCTCAATATAGTCATTGATCTGATTCAGGTATGCAGTTTACGATATAATAGCACTGACAAGGACTCGCTTTATGGCGGTTAGAGACGGTAAAGTTTAGGTAAAACATCGATACATTGTCACTACACACATTGAGATTACGAAATAGCTCTTCATTATAAAATAGGCGAACATTAAGACGTGTCACTTGAATTTGATCTTCAAATCAATCTATCTATAAACCGCAATAAATCGAGTGATTCAAGACACTGCGTATAATCATTCATAGGATTGCGTGGTTCTGGGATCTGCGGGCACGAGTACAAAGAAAATTAAAATGATTTGTACTAAAACTAAAATCGATACAGTATTGATCATCACTAAAATCTTCTGCCCGACACCGTCGCTTGCGCAACGCCTCTCCAACGTTGGGCGCCATAAACATGGGGATTTAGTGCGCGCGGTGACCGCGCACGCGCACATTCGCAGCAAGATATTACCCACTATTTGATGGTTATCAACGCGGAGGCTCATTCAGTGGGCTCCCAAAGCACAGGACACGCATTGAGGATCAACACATTACAAGAGTGACAGCATGGGACCAATCGAACGATGAACAATATCTTTATAATTGCCAAAATTTATCAAAGCCACACTATCCCTTTGGCAAAAGTTCAAGGAATTAAATCTAGCTAATACCTAAAAACCAAATTATTCGGTGAAACCGTGAGACATAAGCTATTTGAGCTTAGAGAAATTAGTTTTAACAGTGTAGATAAGGAATCGTAGAATTGTCAGTTAACTTTTTACAGTGTATGTGCCATATAATCCCACTGGACCTACTTCTGCTTGAATTATTCGCCGAGGACGCGATAGCTCATATTTATTGCACGTAAGCCAATAATTTGGAGATGGGCATTAATTGCAATTAACAATACTACAGTAACATATCTCTTTAATTAAGCCTCGCATTACCGTAATTCGATGCCTCCGTAATTGGGTTAATTCATCTGCTTCGACGATGGTCTGATGTTTATTAAAGGCTTTAATGGTTAATGCTATAAAACCTATTATATTGAACGATTAAACTTGGAAGAAAGTACTAAACATCCTTGTTTCCTATAAAATGCCAGTTGTTCCAGGGTTCCAGGTGCAAACGAACCCAATTAATCGCTACAGATGACATAAACAAAGTTCCAAAATGGTAACAAAAACTTTGTAACCTTGGCGCGCCGCCACAGAGCCGTCAAGCATTTTATTTCCGAGTAGATATTATGCGTTTAATTAGAGTGAAATTTTCATGGATTTTACGTTACGTTTTGCTTCCCCAATATGTAGTATAAACTTTTAAAATCAGCCTTCAATTACCGGCCAAAATAAAGCTCACACTTTGATCTTAGCCAAAAGGCCGAGAAGCGATAAAAAATAAAGCTCGTTTGACCAACTTTACCAAAACTTCTTACTGACGTACAACGTAGTACCTTAAAGGGTCATTGCCGACATTAGATACCTGTAACTGAGGGATGTATAAGCCATCTTGTGGCTCGCTATCCAATTACGTAAGTCCTAACTAGATCAGGCTGGCACTGCTCCAGATTTAGCTGCGAACTTCGATACAAGCTGGGACGATCTTAAGCTTGATTCTCCGATTCACATGGTTATATTGGACCGTGAGATCAATTCGACAATGATTTATTTTTATTTATGTGCAAATAATTGAAATCGGTTTACTTTTATGAAAGTGTTCATTCACTCATGGTGTGCTATTATGTTGTAACGCTTTTTCTTAGACTTTAAAATAGGTAGATGATAAATAGATACGAGTACAATGTTTGTTACAACTTCATGCTTTCGACTTCAATAAGTGCTGAATGAACTTATCCAATATTTTAAAATACAGCCAAACACAGCCTAGTCTTAAAGTCGCAGGAAATGCGATTTATGCGGATATTCAACTTAGTAATGTCAAATAATGCAGGTAATTGTGCTAAATGAAAACCAAACACACGTGTAGGTAAGCAAAGTGTGCACGAGCAGAATCAGAAGTTCAGACGGGTCTATCTATGAAAGCTCAGACGAGCCGCGGGCTCGATATCCAATTAACTCGATCAAACAGCCGCGAGCAGCGACACAGCCCTGCTCCAGAATCGATTGGGAATAAAGCTAGGGTTGCCGTCACTTGAATACAGTTTGACTCTCTCACGGTAACTAACTATTCTATGTGAAAATCTGGTTCTCTAGAATATTTACTTTAATCTATCAATTTCTTCGTAACTAAGAACATACATGAGCCAGTTCCAATCTATAGCTGTACGTCAGCCAGAATATGTAGGTATACCAATGAGCACGATATGATTTTTTATCCAGCAACCGATTTCATTTGAAATCAAAGGATTTGAATTCAAAGGACTATAAAGTTTAATAAAATCACTTCACAAAATTGTAAGTTTCTATAAGGTGTGCGATATTTATGCACCGTGTCATATACCATATTTTAATTGCACAGGAATAATTTTACCCGCCTACCAATAGGTACTCTCAGCCAAAAAAAGTCTTTTGAAATTTCCTGTCCGCTTTTCCACCAGGTCGACTTTAATAAGAGTTAATTTTCAAACACAATTAATCATCTTTTGCGAGATAAGATCTTAAAACGATAAAGCCTATTCTGTTAATTATGAGACAACCCTGACACTTTTAAGGGATTATGTTTTCGTTTGAGGAATAAGCTTACTGAACTGATTAACTCGCTTTTGAATTTGAATTTTCTGCTATGAAATTATTTGAAAATGAGATAAAAATATTCACCATTTTAGATAGGTATTCGACATTTTGAACATTATACGAGACGAGCTACAGTATTTTCGCGTGGACTTACTGAACTGAAAAATGCAGGAATACAATACAAATCCTTAACATTCGAGAATTACCTACCTATGATATGCCTATAGTGTCCTCCACTCAAACGCACATTCCTCAAAATTTTAAGTATCAGCAATATAGACGACAAAAATTCTGATACAAGTTCTACTTCGATTGTGAATTTAGTTGAAGATGATGAAAACAACTGCGAATGCTGGCTGGTGGTTTAATAAGGCTATGCATATTTCATAGTCATTTGATAGTCAAAACGCCCAAGGCAAATGACCGAAAATTATAGAATCCTTCAGTAAAGGGCTACTTTTGTACGCCGATTGATGTTCGATGCATAAATAACTCGCCTCGATCCCCGGTCATTACCGCGTGGCATGCTTCATTGATTACCGGCCGAAAGGGCAACACCGATGGCCATTATCAGGACTTATCGACGGCCGCAGTCCTTGGACCTAACATTTGCCCCGTGGCCTGCTCATCATAAGAACCAAATTCGCGTGAAAACGCGTGAAACTGTGTCAATGCCCCACACGTTCCCAAGTGGTGAACTGTAATGGTGCGATGTGCAACTCCCATTAAAATAATATAGAATCTGCGGCGCGCGCGGCGATTACCTTGCGAAACTGACGCAGGGCTAATGGGAAATAGATGTTCATTGGAACGATCTCCGGCCGCCATTGTCGCGGTGTCGCACGGGGTTATTAAAACGTTTTCATACAGGCATGATTGAGGCCAAAAAACAATAAAACTGACGTGAGACACTATTAATTATTATTTAAAATAAATAGAATGGACTTGCTGTAAAGTGGTCTGGAGTTCCATTATTCGTATCTACCTAGGTGATCAAGAACATACCCAAGGTAAAATTTGCTCGCTGCTCCATACAAGTTAAAATTATTATCCTTAGAGTGATCGCCTCTATCGTGGCTTGCATATACACAAATGCTATTTCTATTTATTTATATTAACCGGCAGACAGTGGTGACTGAGTTTGTTGCGGCGCTTCTTCTCAGCACTTGCCAAATGTTGGTCTCGAAGCGCTGGTAGGGTAAAAAGATTATGAGACATGTAGAGGCTCCTTAAGAGCAAAATGACGATTTGTAAGAACTATTTATTAGTCTAAACAAATAAAGAAATTTTGACTTTGACTTTGAAATAAAACAGCAATCGCTCGCTCTACAAGTTGAATGTAACACGTAGAATACAAATTATAGCTTAGACTCACCAGAGCCCGTAGATGGAGGGGATGGTGAGCGCCATGAGCGTGGCCAGGAAGCCCACCACGAGGATGGACACGCGCATCACCCAGATGATCTCCATCTCCGACGCGTTCTGCCGGAAGATCAGCTTGTACACGTTCCTGCGGGGGAGACCACTTTCAGCGAAACCCAGAATTTATTTGGATTCTATTATTCTATCCTGACTTCACTACCTAGGCGGTTATCACACTGCGCCGCGCTCCGTCGCGGAGCGCGGGGCGACAGATTTAATAATTGTATGCAAGTACCTCAGTTTGTATGGAAAACACGCGCAGCACTTCACACTGACAACGCGTCCGCGCGCGTGATTTTTTATATGAAATCACGCGCTCCGCGGCGGAGCGCGGCGCAGTGTGATAACCGCCTTAAGTATTAAGTACAGCTGAACAATACAAAGTTGACAGATTTAACGCTCAATCAGATACTAGCACACCCACAGCAGAAACACAACTTTCTTTCTTTCTATCAATTCCATCATTTCCGTTAATTCAGGCAATCACTGCTGAATAAACTCCAAAAAGACTTAAAAAACAATCTTCCGTTTCATCCAGACATTCACGTCTATTTTCTTTATATAGTCGTTTCATCGAGCTGAGGAGCATCCTGCACTATGCTTGCTAGACGAAGCTCACTGTAACAATGAGAAAACTTGTCAGATGTGACTCACCTCGCGAACATGGAGGAGGCGCTGAGCACGCTAGAGTCAGCTGATGACATGACAGCAGCGGACACGGCGCCGAGCCCGAAGAACGACACGAAGTCCGGCGTCAGGTGCTGCAGCACCAGCGGCAGGATCATGGACGTCTGCTCCGGCGTCAGCTCGCCGTCCGGCGTCAGCGCGCCCGTGTACTCCGTCTCGTTCCACGCTGCAACAACCACCACCCCTCAGCATATGCCTGTCAGCGTAGCTATAGGCTCCAACCTATACCCATCTACCTTATATTCTAATTGGTAGTGTGGCAAACCAATTAAGAGTCCTCTAATGAGGGCTATCGTTTTAGCGCTCACCAGTTAGCGCCACTGTAGAGTAAGGTCCTGTCACTTACTAGTAGCGAAGACAGTGGCACCAACTGGTGAGCGCTAAAGTGGTAGGAGGACTATCGCATTTGCACTCATCAAGATGGCGCCACTGTAGAGTAAGGTCCTGTCATCGCCAGGGGTGCCAACTGTTAAGTATAAAAACGATAGCCCTCATTCCAGATGACTACATCTGTAATAAAAGGGCTAGATTTAAAGTTGAAGGAATCTAAGCTTATAAATATTCTTCCGCTTCTATTAAAGAAAAGTCATGTTCTAGAATTCACACTTATTACCTACTTCCTAACTACAGTCGAATTATAGAATTTTCAGAAGTAGGTATGTACCTACCTCCAACCTACTTTTCGGATAGTAATTATAAAAACAATTAATTCCCTTCGTTTAATTAATGTTAGGATGGTAAACATAACAAACGAGACCTGTATTATAAACTTTATTGAAATAACACAGCAATATTTTGAAATAACTAATTACTGAAGTACCTACGCCGAAATCGAGATAAAATAATTGTGCCGAAAACCTAGAACTCCGTCCATTTATCACCTGGCCCATCGAGGGTTCGGCGCGTGTAATTACGGGTCGAAACGCAAAGTTTAAATTATTAATTCCGAAGGTTAGAGAAATGCCCCAGACTTGTCTGTGGAGAATACATCGCCACGTGTATATTGTTGAGTTGGGAAAATTGTGGCTAAGCAACTTAATACTAACTAGAATGAAGCCATTGGGCTACTATACAATGTTAGTAGGATATGACACGTGCACGAAAAGGGACGTGACATCCTAACAAATGAAATAATTGGCCTGATCAGCTGTATTGCTTATAGAGTTGCCGTAAGCGAGCGCTGCTGGGTCCATACAAATCATCCAATTACTAAAGGCGCCATGCTGTCTCTTGCGTAATATTCAAATATCTCTTCGTCTCGAATACCAACTATTTATTTAGCAAATTAATTAGCCTGAGAGTTAAATTACACCGTAGGCATTCCTCATGTGTAAAACATTTCCTGATACCCTTCAAATGTATGTATCGTCGGTACCTATGACACAATATGTAGTTAAAATGTTCTAAACTTGTTGAAACTAAGATACCAATGTACGTACAGGTACGGTGGTCACAAGGGATGATCAACCACCAAACGTTCACTGTTTGCGTTTGATGCTGCTCTTCTTTACAGGCGCTGTTATTTACCAAGCACGGGACTATTCCCACCTCTCGTTCCCACCGCTGCAACTCCTGCGTAGCCAGGATCTAGCTTGACCGCCATAAAAACCCAACCAGTGAAGGTCAACTTTGTCCGGGAGAAAGTTAAACTGTCATTGACCAAGATTCATATGGAGCAAGTAGTTAAATGGTGGTAAAGCCTGATCCGTGAGCACGTAGAATTTTGTCCAATGAATGTAATTATATTGCTGTCGCAACTGTGCGACGCGCGCCCGCAGTGAGTGTGCGAGCGCGACAGCAACATAATTACGCGCGAGCGATAAGGATGTGTAGCTTGGGGTCATTGGACAAAATTCTACGTGCTCACGGACCAGGCTTTACCACCATTTAACTACTTGCTCCATATAGGCTTTAGTATAACGTACCAGTGGCCTTGGCGATGGCGCCGATGAGCACGGGCGGGATGGCCATGAAGATGCAGCCGATGGCGGCCACGTACGACAGCACCTGCGCGCGCCCCGCCGTCTTGCTGCTCAGCACGCGCTGGAAGTATACCTGTGGAAGGGGCAGCACAGTCACTCACTCAAATTCTAATTCATTCATTTTAAGAGTAGGCGCACACCGTTGATTTTTAGTTGGCCGATAGTTGTGCCCGATTTTAATTTGTATGAAGAATCGGCCAAATCGAATCGGCGTAGTGTGCGCACTCCCATCATGCCCATACTGATCAACTGCCCGACTAAACTATCGGCCGACGAAAAATCAACGGTGTGCGCCTACTCTAAAAGTTCGTTTTCAACAAGCTCTTTTCAACGTCACGTTACTTTAACCCGACCACTGCTTCGGGACAATAATTGGGCCAGTACTGAGAAACTCCATCATTAATGACAACCTATTGTCAAGGGCTTTACACCGATCCCTAATTCCTATCCAACGAAATACTAGGCTAACCCAAAAGTTATCCTTACACAGGGCACAGGGATAATGTCATAACCGCTATGTGTGTTACAAAAGAAAATCAGAGATTTTAAAACAGTTTTCCCGGAAAATTTATGAGTAATTTGTTTTTTCGGTGATGACGTTAAAATCATTTCCTACATTTCATTAACTCATGTAACAGAAAAGTTGCAGAGAGGTCCGATGACAAAGAGACAAACCATTTCATCGAAGATTTCGTATAAAAAGAAACTACAAATCACATCAAACAACGTACTCTATACTAACTTAGTTAACGAAGTGTCTCTCTCAACATAGATTCAATGTCATAATCCCTGAGATGAATTCGTTGAAAAATCGATATGCCAACCAATCTACAGCAAAGTCGGAACGCGGGCAGAGCTCGCGTAATAAAAATGTCTGGCGCTCGTCTCAATGAGATTTCTAAGAAAACAAATTAAACATCCGCGCAAAACAAGAAATTATTTGAAATACTTAATTAAGCTATTCTTTAAGTTACTGGAATTATGTTCGCGTAAAAGATATTCTTTTGTCTGCAAAAGAAATCGTATATAAAAGAGAAAACAGGATTACAAAAGAAAAGCTTTCTTTGTTAGACTAATAATACCGTTGTATTACACGAGTACAACAACTGTAAGTTTATAGCAGAATTTCAGGAAAACGCCCATAAAAATATGTTTTATTCTTTGTAATTCTGTATTCCTAGGGCAACCGCATCGTAATATAAATCAGCTCCTTGATAAAAAGGTTCACGCGCAACAAATCTTAAAGGTATATTTCGGGATATAAACATTGAGTTATAATGTACCTACTACGTAGTAATATTACTTCAATGGATATAAACTGTAATAAAATCCATAACAGTACAAGATACCAAAGACTCGTTTCTATTCTTCTGTTGCTCTCGTTAAATTATTGAGACTACACTGGAAAGGTCGCTCGTTGTTGTTGATAATTTACTTTATTCACGATAAGAAAGCACGTTGTTTAACCTGCAGGTGCAAATGTACAGGCGTTTTGGGCCCGCTCTCGCTTCCCGAGGGAAATGGCTGCCAAACACGACATTGTCTTTGCGAGCAGTAAAATTGGATTTACATTGTTTGCTCGATTAAAACATCAACTATCAACAGCAGAGCCCATTAAATTTTAATATGCAGTGTATTGTTGCGATTTACGTGAATCACAGTACAGAATCTATAATGTGAATGTAGCCTGAATATTTATTAGTAGGTTACTAGTGGATTATAAACTGCAGTACCTTTGAGTTTAAGGGTTTATTGAAACAAAGCCACTAACCTGCCACGGGATTCCTCCAAAGATCAGCAACAGTCCATAATCCACGTAGAACCAGTAATACTCCGGATCGACCTTCCCGATCCAGTCCACCTCCATAGAGCCGAGCGGCTTGACGTGCGGGTTGGCCCAGGCGAAGGGGATGCACATCCACAGCCCCAGGAAGATGCAGAACAGCTGGATCACGTCCGTGTACGCCACGGAGTACAGCCCGCCGAACAGCGTGTAGAACACGGCAACGCACGCGCTGAAGATCACGGACGTGCGGTGGTCCATGTCGATGATCACGGCCAGTGTGGCGCCTGTGAAGGAAATTCAGGTAAGGAACAAAAACGAACGATAACTATTCATGTTTAGAACAAAAGTTAGAGCATTTAATTAAAGCGATGCTTTATGTTGAAAACCCTGCTTGGAATGGGGCATCTGCAGCTTTTCGTATTACTCGTAGTTCATATAAAATGACAATATTTCGCAATAATCCTGCTCTTATACCTCCAGTTTGTGATTATACAAGAAATGGAACGTAACTAAGGTAAACNAATAAAATTTTATCCCGTACAAAATGTTCATGGATTTTGTTATTTTTATTAAATACCTTTACGCCTGAGTTAAATGACACCGACATCAAGGTTCATCAATTTAAGTTTAAAATAATAGGCAGTAATGTATAAAGAAAGAGCTTCTATTCTGTATCTACCTATGCCCGTGTATTTTTGATCGGTGTCAAATCGGAGTTTTTGGTGCGGGGTACGCGGGTGTTGCTCGCGGCGTGAAGGTCAAACGCCCAAGGTCATTGAGGACTCTAATCGCCTTAATATACCGAAGTAGGGGGCACTTACCTTATAGGTTAATTTTTGCGACTACCTGCCTCTTATTTCAATTAGTCCGCCGGTGTTGTAAATCCATTAGTATTGAATAAGTTATTGCCGTTCTGCAGCCGCCCGATGTTAAAAATAAGCCCGCCATCGATCGGGCTCTCTGAATTTGCATAATTTAGTTCAGCGCTGAGCTTTCTGCTCTATACTTAGTCTTTTGTTTGCACAGTTACAGAAATAAACTGAAGATTCCTAAGTTTACTGAATAAATACAACATTATTAACACTCTTTCGCATAACATTACCTACTCTCAAAATAAAGTAGTTTACGAAGAAAGCATTTTCTTTCCTTCTGCATTTTCTTTTCTCGACAACTACGAGTAAGTAGTTACTTTACCTACTTCGCTGAGAAAATACTTTTCTATTCAGAATGAGATCATTTTCCTGACAAATTTTACTTGTTCTTCAGTCAGTTCAGTCTTCAGTCAAGTGGGCGTAAACATTCGAGATCAAATTCTGCTATCGAACTCAATAACAAGATTAGCAAGTCATTATAGCGCGTTAGAGTAACAAACATTCAAAAAGAAAGCTTCATAATTTTAAGAAGCCAAATTATTTTATTACATATGACATTCATTAGTAGTCGCTTAGGTTCCTCTGACTGCCGTGTCGCCTACGCGATCCCGGGGCAGTCCCCGGGGAGCCCATTTGTATTCGGGCCGGGACGCGGGCTCTTTCCCGGATTCCCGGAACGTGATTGTGGGAAAACGTACTTTTCCTTCCACTTCACTGCAATCTTTTGAAAAGTAACTTTTTTCTAATTTGACTACTAATAAGTTGAACGTTCAACAAAAAGTAAAGTGAGATACCTACTTATGAATCTGAGTGTCAAATATGCCAATACAAGGGCATCAGCCCTTAAATCTCATTAATTTATTACAAGACTTACCTATTTAGGTACTAAATTAAAAATGTTTCTTACAATACAACCATTATAAACACATTAACCATTCTCTTTACCACATGTGGTTCTGGGAAAAATATAATACAATGTCAAAGAGAAAACATAATATTTAGCTAAATAATACGTTAGGTAAATACGAGTAAGTACCTACATGGTAATAATTTGTATCCATGTTATTTCCACAAGCATAATTTTTTTTATTAATTAAGTTGAAAGAGTCGAAACATATTAATTAAGTACATGTAAAAGCCTATTGAAATACACTTGAATAGCGGCCTGCTCCTGACACTTCGTAATTAGTTGTTACTTAAGACCGCAACATAGTAATTACTTAGCTCGGGTGAACTTGCTCAAAGGAGCTTTACCTACTGAAGCTAAAACTTATACATAGCTCGCTTCGGGCTGTTTGACTAATATCACTCACGCGAACTCCCACGCCGACATTTAGATACAAACTTTGCAAATTGTCATAATAACCATGTAAAATATGACACTTCCAAATAAAGTACAAAATTGTGAGTCCTATTATATGTATGAATCTAAAAATAACTGCATGGGTGGGTAGTCAACAATGTAGGTACACGATAACGGGGGTTGTTAAAAGTTGCTCATTTAATTTCGCAATGCGTGGATCTTGGAACAAAGGGGCGGAACAAAGCCGCGGTGAAGGACTTTTGACCTGGATACACGGGATGGTTCAACAACACAACACGTACGCCGCCTCGTTCATCTTACACACTTTTAGGTGGGTACCCACTAAACCAAATAATTCATAAAGACCCACATACACGTACTAGTTAAATAGTTTTGATTAAAATTGAATACTTGAATGAATCCATTAGATAGAATACGCATGGGAGGGTCGAAAACACAAATATTAATTAGACAAATTGCTAAGGCACAAAACACAAAATCAACCTAACAACCTTTTGCAAAATCTTCTATTTTAGTAAAGCTGAAAATACAACTGAAATGGAATAGGTACGTGTGTACCTTCACATCGCGCTTGAATGTGTAAATAATGAAAGAACACAATTCTGGCCGTTTGCTCGGACAGAGTGGCAGAAACGGCAATTCTGCTCGTTTGGAAACGTTACAGCCGTCGGCTAGTGCTTTGATATTCTCGGTGAGTGCCGAAACAGCACTTCACAAATAGATCTGTGAAGTGGGGACAATATGAGGAGCCATTATGGCGAGGCGAGTCGCGATGACGGAACCTTGCCCGTTCGGTGAATCGCAGTGGCTTCACATGGTGTAAAATCTAATTAGCGTCATAAAAAGATCCCTTTCGTGATTCCGTTTCGTTTCTGATTCTGTGATGAGACAAATCATTTGATGCTATCAAATATCATTAAAAATCCCCATTCCCTCCGAATTGCTTAACTGAAACATCAGACGTAGTAAATATCTCGTATAGTAGCAGTCATTTACCACTACTTTCAGTTATTCACATGCAGTGTAATCCACTGAGGTACAGAGATATTCTGCAATATGCACAAGGCATAATGTACAAGAAACGTGGGTACAGCACATATTGCATGAATAATAGAAACGTTCTTCTGTTCTGTCTTCCACCCTAATTTAACTGAACATTTATAACAATACCCTTTACATACAGTTTTTAATATTTATTCTAGCTCTATGCAGCTTTAATACCTAACCTGCTCTTATAAAGTTATTGTAAGATGTTGAATCCTTCTCAATAAAATAGTTCGACAGTGTAATTTAATTAACGACTTTGTGAAGCGTCTCATTTGTTACAAAAAGCGATAGTAAACGAAACTTACCCCGAACTTCGACAGTTCAAATTCAGTAGATAAGTGGCGAGGAAGGAAAAGTTGCTGCCGCCAATTTATCACAAAACGTTGCCGAATCTGCAGGCGACATTGACTGATCTCAAGCTTACAGCTTGGCAACTTCTTTCATTTATTACCTACTCGCTTTTCACTCTTGTTAATTTTACGTAACGTTCTCATTACTCGACCTAAATTGTTGTTAAATGGTTGTTACTTAGTTCTCGCATAGTTTAAAATGTTTAAACGCAACTTAGATTGAAAATATTTGTCATTAAGATGCGCATTCTATATTATTATGTTGCCTATCCACTCGGAATCTGCGACTCCTCGCTGATTAAACATAAGGTCCTGTAGCGTCCCTATCTCCAGAATATGCAAACGATCCGACTGGATTCAACCCTTTGAATATTGTAATGGGTGACACAAAACCAGTGTCTTGTACCGACAACTGGTTGTATCACAAATATTCAAATGTATGAGAAGGTCAGAAACTGATGGAAAATAATTATTATAGGCCTACGCTACGTAAACGAAAGGAATAAGGAGACTTGTAGTAGGTATGCATTTCCATTCTGCTGGTATTAAATCAACTATTCTATTCCCTATGGATAGTTAGAAACAAACATGTTTCCACACATTTAAATTAGATAATCATCTAGATCGTCCTGTAAATATCAACGACATTAGTAAATAACAAGTTTCGTGATGTAGAAAACATTAGATTTCACTGGATGGGATTAAAATATAGACCAAAACTAAAAAGCCGGTGAAGTTATTTTTGAAATCCATCAAGAAATGGCTGAGAAATTATTTATTTAAATTAACTCCGTATTTTCGGGTGAAACTTAAAAATAGGCGGTGCCGTGATGTCAGGCCACCTGTTCAAGTTTCAATCACAATGCTTATGATGACCCACGCTGAACTGTCCCACCAAACTCAATGACAGGGTGGCGCTACCATCGTTCAACTATATGGTTTCCAACATGGCAAAAATCGGAACCAGCGATCCGGTATTGACGGTGGCGCCACGCTGTCAATGTCAGGGATAGGACAGTTCAGTATTTTGGAACTATACCATCCTTAACGCATTGTTGAGAATGACACTATAATGTCAGTCTTCTTTTTCTTTTTAAATAATTATGAGCCTGGCTGAAAAATTAAAAATTACTAGATTAAAAAAAAATGTAGGGGAGCGGAACCGAATATTGTATACGTGCGCAATACTGGATACTCCAATTACTGAAAAAGTAACAACGCTATCTTCATGAAATATTTAAAACCAGTTGGTCAATGCAATGTTAGGGATAGTTTCCTAAACGGCATCGCCATATTTCTCTTTACTTGGCAATTAGATTTTCGTTCGTCGTTTTATTTTTGATATTGACTTCAGGAGGCAATAAAACTATGATAAGTGATGTTTTTATTTTAGTGATAGTACATAATAGCCAGGTATAAAGTTATTGAAGCATATTAAATGCGTTTTCTCGATAATTGAAATAGGTTAAAAATTTCATAACGGTTTTTGTAAAAATAGGTAGTTACCTCAATATTGGATACCTAGCTATTCCCAATACTGGGTATCCAGTATAAGGGTACCTAAATAAATTGTAGCATTTATTATTCTTCTGACAGTGTGACATGCATAAAATGCTATTATTAATAAGGAAATGAGATATTTAAAAGTATCCAAAGCTTTTCGCGGGGCTCGATCAACATTGGAAAGCTGTGAAAAACCGATGTAAAACAATAGACCAGTTAATTAAAACGAAGCTAAGACGAAAAGCTACTTTTTATCCTAAAATGGAAAAGGAGCTTATTAACTACTGTTTACTGATGGTCAACAGTTGTTATGGCTTGAGAGCTTTCGACGTTCGCAAATTAGCTTTATAACTACCTGACCTAAGTCTGTCGCCATAACAACAATGTTAACAGCATTGCTGTGTTCCGGCAGTTAGAGGCAAGATAGCCAGTTCCTCCGTGGTTAAGGATTCCGGGTGAAGCTCGCTTCCACCTTCGGCCTGATCATCACTTACCATCAGGTGAGATACAGGCCAAGAGCTTCCTCGTTGTGGATAAAAAAAAATTAAAAAAAAAACTAGCAATAAATACCAAAATTAGCTTTCATTTAATTCAGTTACCTAATAAACGAGCTACCGCGACCATCATCATCATCATCATCTCAGCCATAGGACGTCCACTGCCGAAAATAGGCCTCCATATTAAATTGTTATCCTAATATGGGATATCCGATATTAGGAAGATACAGTATCCAGTATTAGGGTACACAAAATTTCATGATTGATTTGTGCCATTTTGGATAAATATTTATTTATAAAAATAAATAAAAGAGTTAAGACATAATTTGGTTTACTAACTTAAAGTATAATGATACGCAATAATTTTAAGTGCAATTAATGAATAAATTTTTGAATTTGTATGAGTTTTTTTTTAAGTTTTCAAAAAGTAACAGCACTGGACCAGTGGGTCTAGACAAAGTGCAAATTATAATCGCAAACCAGTCGAAAAGTGGTCGAAAAGCCCCTTTTTTGTATGGAGTTTTGACGGATTCGATTATCGATTCGATCAAAAAGTGCGCTTTGTCTAGGGGGGCTGGGGTGATCTACTGTTTGTACTTCGAATGACTGTCGTGACTACTTAGAATCAAAATAGCGCGAATTTTGTTATGCGCAACTTTAGGGCCCTGTATCTTTTGTATTTGTAGAGATATGTTCATGATTCTTTCACAATTATTATTAGTTTTACTTATATTTTCAAGATTTATTGAAAGAAAAAAATTGGAAACTTGTACACTTGTACTTGTAGCATGAGTGACTTACCGAGCGCCGCCAGGATGCCGGCCGCCCAGAACACCTCGCCGCACAGGGCGGGCAGGAACAGCAGCCCGCCCATGCGGCTGCCGAACGAGTCCTGCAGCGGGTCCAGCATCGTGATGTAGCCCTGCCGCCGCATCGGGTTCGCGAAGAAGATCCCGCCTGCCGGCCACCAACATCGTTAACATTTGCAACTAATATACAGGGTGGAAACGTTGCATTTTCGGATAGTTCCAGTTTATTCTGTAACCTATTATTGGTATTGAAAGCGCCCGTGAAGCAATTTCAGGATCAGTAACCAGTTTTTCGATTTCTTGTATAGTTTAGGAATAATCGAGTGAACTCACTTATCGTTTCCACCCTGTATAGTTAAAGTCTATTGCTGAAACTATACATTCCTATCGGGTAAGTGATATCGGTTTTGTGGGGTAGGATTTTTCAGCCCGATCACCTTTCTCAGCCACATTGCTCCTGCGATGGACATCATCACCTACCCACTTTAAACATGTAGAGATGAAAATGTGAAAATATCTAGTGTAAAGGTCAAAGGTGATCTAAATCAGAAAATCACCATCTTACTATCATACCTACATATTATTATTATGTACCTACTTTACCTATTTTAAAATCACTTCAACACTATACAGACTCCTAACGCGAACGTTCACTATGACGTTTTATTGGTTGGCCAACGCCCCGTTCATGTTCAATAGTTAACGAAAAAAACAGTTTTTACAGGTACCGGGCACTCATCATTATTACCTTTACACACACTGTTATTCATAAATATTGTAGGTATAGGAGTACATATTTACAAAGGTAAAAGTATTTTTGGAACTCACATTTTCTCCTCGTGCGAATTTTTATTCCCTCAATTCACTGCTATTCAAAAACTTGTCACGATTCACGAAGAGCCTCCGGTGCGTGTACTACCGTGACTTGAAATGATTCGACTACCGACTCCGTATAAACTTTTTATTGCGTTCCTTTTCACGCTATATTTTGAAGCATAGATTTATGATTATGCTAACTTATGCAATAAATTACATGCAAAGCAATCATCTCGAAAGCATACACGATTTATAGAAATAATTCCATTGTTTTAATAACATTAATGTTAAATTGGCCAAAAACCATACAATTTAAAAAATAAAATTACAGAATTTTTATTTTTGTTTAATATTTACACTCGTGTTTTTTTTTAAATAGGCTGCATAGACTGTCCATGGGTTGCGCGCTCTAGGGTATAGAACTGTTATTTAATCTGTGCTAGAGCACACACATGCATGATTTTAAAAATTTTGATTGCAAAATGTTTCACTGTTACATTCTGCCGCCATTAAATAGCACTTTATACTCGTAGTACTGCCCTAGTGTATTAAATTGCAAATTCAAATTCACTAAACTCATTTTATTTTTGTAAAAGCGTAATTTTACATAAAACATTTAGAAATTTTTAAATCTTATATTAGACTGCGACACGATCAATGTATTTTCTAACATCAAATATTGAATGATTCAATAACTCCAATCTACTCAGGCTGACACCGCCACTTTCCCACTCAATCAATGAATGTCCACCGATTAACTTTATAATTTTGTTTGACTTTTGAATTACCTCGATATCATACAATCATTTTTATATTTTTTCCATATGAAAAATTGCGAAGTGGCATAATGAAACGACACGATCCTTATAAGCCAACATGGAATAGAATGAAGAAGAACATAATGTAAAAATGTAATCTGTAATTCTCACTCAACACAACTACTGCGACACAGGCCTGCGAGCCTAGTGCAGAAGCTGTGGTTTATTACATCACAGGAAATGATATTTGTGAATAAAGATTATTTATTTATTATTATTTATTTATTTATGTAGTAGGTACATAACTGATGATTAAACGTACAAGTATTCACATTAAAACAAGGATTAAAAACATAATATCACTCTCTGATCTCTTGCCCGAGTTCAGTGTTATTATGAGTAGATGTAGTGGTACGTACCGAAGACCAGCGAGAGCGCGTAGCCGAAGGGGGCCTGGCACCACACCAGACCCGAGGTGTAGATGGCCTCCGCCGTGCCGTTGATGTAGCCGCCGCCCACCCACGTCGCTGCAACCACAACACTGCTCAATAAAACAACATAATCTAACAACAATGTTAACCATCCACCTTCGGACTGATCATCACTTACCATCAGGTGGGAACAGGCCAAGAGCTTCCTCGTTGTAGATAAAAAAATCTTGATGCCTAGGCCTACCCACTTGTACCTAAATAATGTACTTTCTTCTATTTTAAACTGCAATAAGTAGCTTTTATTGTAAGTTTTAAGTACCTAGGTATAATAGGTTTCCATTGTTTTTATTATACCCAATTTGATACGTATCTTTGAGAATTCAAGTCCTTTGGAAAACCTATTAACACGAGCTCGAATGCAAACCTGAATAATTTAGCGGTTAACAATCCCATCGCGTCCTAAGTATTTTTACAGTTCAGTTTAAAAAATTCGTGACAACCCAGTGAAAGCAAGCCTAGATTCGAAATAAAACGTAAAAAACCTTATTTTACGTACCGTTATTAAATCACTCAAATAAATTATCCACACCCTGGCGCCATTCCGAGCAGTGCACAGATTATATCTCCGCACCAAACAGACCCACCATAGAGTATGATCATCATTTTATTAGTGCTATTTTTCTACAGAATGGCAGATGATTTTATTCATCTATTCTAAACTAAACAACCATATTTCGTCTTTTTTAAATTAGTATTTACTGAAACAAACAGTTATCTACGCTCGCGAATAATGTCAAATCATGCTTCAAAAATGTAAAGCTTGGAGTGTAAAAAGTACCCCACTTATCGGAAAAATAATCTGAAATCATAAATTTCATAAATATTCATCAAATTTTATTACCAACGTTTTATTGGTTATTCTGGAACAATAAAACTCATGAAATCATAATATTTCATAAGCAATTTATTTGTAATTTCCGAACCATTATTTATTTACCTTTCTCAGAAGCGCGAAATTTTTGTTGAGCAAAATTGAATTGGTAGCTTTTAGAGGACGAAAATTATATTTGTTTACTATTAATATAAGTGTTAAGTGACTTTCCAGAAACCTTCAAAAGAATTGCTGATGGAAAAAGTAGGTACAGTTGAGTTCATTAATATATTGGCAGTGCCACTATTTCAAAATATTGTAGCGCAGTAGCGTAGTCCATACTGCACTGCCGCAACATATTTATATGAACAGTCTATAGGACTACATTTTATTGATGTTGAGTTTGTATTGAAAATATTTCGTTAAAACGCTTATAATATTTTGAAACATTAGCGCTGCTCCACGTATCGCTCCACTTATTAATGATCTCGACTGTACTCTGTATCTACGTACTTTTCTAACTAAGCTCACTCTGTATCTACGTACTTTTCTAACTAAGCTCAAGCTCACGTGAGCTTAGTTAGTCGTTCGTTCGTTCGTTCGTTCGTTTCAGCCAAATGACGTCCACTGCTGGACAAAGGCCTCCCCTAAGGTTTTCCACAATGAACGGTCCTGTTAGTCGTTACGTAGTATTAATGAAATTAAGTTGTTGAACTCATTTTCTTTCCAACCAACAAGGTTTGATTTCATTTTGTTTTTATTCACAACGGGAAAGCTTGGCCTGCATCTCATCTGTTTAAAAGTAGGTACCTAATGACGAAGGTCGAGCTATACCTGAAATTCTCAACCAGACACAGAACATGAGCGCATTCCTCATAATATATGAATTAATAAATTAACCACATCATGATCACACTCTTTTCTCAGTTGTAAAAATATTAGTTTGAAAACTTTTACTATACTACTTTTGAATTGCCTAACTATTATCTTTGTCGTAAATAGTACCTGATTACAAGCCGGTTCGATTAAGCCATTTATTGATACATTACCTATTACGGCTCTTACTACTTCGATCACTGAAGACTCCGCCATAGAGTAGAATCCTATTGTTTTTCGTAGTTACTACAAGTATTACTTTTGTCCTGCACATAATAAACTTATTTAAGTCAAACAATAAACACATATTACTAAAAAAGGCAGGTGAACTAGGCTACTACATCACAACATCTTTAACAAAACCATATTGTCCATTTTATATTGAATGGGACCCAAAGATAAAGCTAATGAGGTGTAGGTAGTAAATGGAGCGCATGAAAGGTCAAGGGTCCCTCGTAACTGGACATTCGACTCAAGATCTTTATTCCATATTTTATCTAGAACCGCGACACACAAAAATGTTTTAAACTACAGAGAATAATAATTGCGCTTGCTAATACTATTACCCCGCCACCAATTCGCCATACCTATTTTGATAGCGATACATTTACACATTCTGGATCCTCTACATGAGTATGACATCATACAATAAAATAAACATTCCTACCAGTACCTATTACCTAGGTCCTTAGATCATCAATCAAGTATCTATCATTATCTTTCGTGATTATTTCTTAGCTATCTCTAAGATTTCTAACTAACAATCGAACTAGAGTGTTATTGTCACAACTAAATAACAAATTAGTAAGTGATTAAATGGTGATAACCTAACTATAGGTACTGTGATTTTTATTAGTACGGCTTTGATACGTACTAATTGAGTTATAGGATTGTGAATTAAATGGATTACAGCTAATGAGATCTTACCACCCTATAATGAGATTAATTCATCCAGGTACAATGACTAATTGATACTCGTGTCCTCATACAGTACTATAATTATGTATACTCGTAGCTAGTAGGTATTCACTCATTACAAAATTAGTTCATACAAAAAATTAATGTACTCTTTAGTCAAACATGAAACAACACCTGAAATCTTATTTTTACAGTGTTGTCATCCAAAACGGTCACTAACTTCTTAAATTAGGTATAGTAACTAGGTACCAACTGTATACTTTTTTTCGATATACTTACAAGTAACCTCGAAAAGCGAACCTACTGCCTAATGATGTCATATTGATTGGTAGGGTACTTAAATATTCCTGGAACCGTTTGACACAATTTAAATTAGAGCCAAGGTAGTTTGAAAATCAATTATTACCTGGAATTGCAGCGGCAAGGAATTTATCTAATACTTAATTACTGGATTAACGACTTCGTTTCAATTACTCAACTTTTGAAGGTCGCAGCAAGTCATTAATCGGCCACTATCTATATGTAGAATTGAACAGTTTAGTCACCACTGGTGATGCTATTTTGATTCCAAGGTTGGGCACAAATTGACTCACCTGCTCACTACCTCTTGAATGAAACGAATTGTGCTAGTATGACTTTAGGAGACCAAATTATCCGCCATTCCAGCCATATTTCAGGCCTCACAGCTGTACGGCCTGTACGGCCCCAGGATGCTGACTCACCAGTCATGGTGAAGATGCCGACGAAGAGGCCGATGGAGCGGCCGGCCAGCATCACCTCCTCCTCCGAGTCGTTGCCCGGCGGCTTCTTGCGGCCGGCCCAGATGCCCACGGCCAGGATCAGCACGTAGAACAGGATGATCGAGATCACCCCCGCTATGTTGATCATCTTGGATGATTTATTTGTCCCTGAGGGGAAAGAACAATCATCAATTTTTCCTGCAATCTTAAGTAATATTAACTTAGATAACAAGTGAGATTTTATACTTTCCAAGTTTACAACAAAAGCATAAAACACTACCCGAAAGAAGTGTTGACAGTGTCTGACTTAACACTTATGGACAAAGTAAAACTACTTTGTACTAGTTTTCTGTTATTTTTTCCAAGCAAATAACTTGAATATCTGGAGGGACCGTTACACCTGTGGCCAAAGCTTACACCTACAGTCATATTTTACGTGGTTCATTATTAAAAGTGGTTGTTTTCTTTCAATTAGAGTAATGGCCAAGCGTTAAGCTCGACAATCTACAAATTACGTACGTAATGTAATACTTACTCGCTCAGAATATATCCCTCGTCGGTCCTCTATATGTATAAGCTCCTTAATTCACACACACCGCACTACAGTCACGTCCATTTTGGAATATCATCCGATATAAACACGTACGATCAAAAATATATTTATATAAATACCACTGTCGTCACTATGCACGGGACGTCACTGGGAGCCTGCGGGCAGCAGTCGCCCCATCGGAGCGAGGTTTTCTGCGACGGACTGTTTCTGGTCCTAAAGCTTAGTCCGCACATGGGCGCGCGTGGCCTGCAGCCCGGGCATCAGCGGCGGGCGCCCGCGTTATGTAAGGCCCATCGTGTGCGCCAGCTCTTCACGTGCGCGGCCTGTGACAGGAGGTCATAATGGCCGAAGGGCGGGCGGATCGATGTGCCTGACGTCATTGGTCGCCCGCGCGCCCGAGCGCGCATGTCTGCCCCGCGCGCCGCGGCCCGGAGCCCACCCACCGCCGAGCTTTCGGCGTCCATCGCTGGCTCGGAGTGAACCAGCCACGTCGTACGCCTCAGGTACTCGGCGATGCGGCGCACGTTCCACCTGGCCGAGAGGCAGGCGCAGGAGACCCGCCGTACCGGGACGGTTCAGCGCCGCGCGTGCTTTTCCATTGACAAATTGATTGATGAGTGGGATTCTTAATGACTAGTCACATTGTTCTGAGATATAAATACTTTCAGCGGCTCACAACATGAGTTACCTATGTCTAATCTTTCAACATTTTATTGGTTTAGTTAAAATGTTTTGGTGGTGTAGGTGTACCTACCCTACATGTTGAAAATAACTTCTCCCAATGATTCCCACATCGCCCACATGATTGGTACATTTGGGTGGACGTCTCACGCTGCGTTTTCCGGTACATAGCCCACACTCCAGAACCTTGTTGCTCCATCAGCCGTCCCGTCAGTTCTGCGTATCATGTGCCCTGCCCATTGCCACTTTAGCTTGCTGATCCGTCGGGTCACGTCGGGTTATGTATGAAAACAACTCATAAACAACTTAGGTATTTAAGAATAAAATATACTACCTAACTAACCTCTTCGTGATTAGATTAAAAAATATTGATACCCTCTAGATTTGACAGCTGTCGCGGTTGACATAAGCTTGATATAAAATCAATCAATCAATCAATCAAGCTTTATATCAAAATTCATGTGCGGTTAAAACACGTTCAAAATTAAATTCAAAAGTTTTTAACACTATCTTGTACTTTACATTCAGTATCGCAGAAAATCTTCCAAAATGCATGACACGGTAAGATACATTTTTACAAGCTTTTTTAACCACTAACTTTTGCCAACGCAATGTCAGGTGATATGCAAGTTACTGAAAATACACCTTGTAATAATATTCTGTTTAAGTATTACCTTTTTCTACATTAATAGTATAGTAAACAAGGTGTAAAAGATAGTATTGCCGTTAACAACCAAGATCTAACCTTAATTTTGTTTGCAACTTTCGTAAGTTTCGTTATCGTAGATCGTAGCTTACGAAAGCGCTACGACGCCCTACGCCGTAGCATAGCTACAGTCTACGACGTGGTTACGACGACTCATTGCTTTCAATTCAATTATTTTAGCGATTTTATTAAACACTCACGTTTTAATTAGTTGCTTTCTATCATCGTCCTAATCACTGTTTTAAAAAGATATTGTTAAAATTTGAGGGTAGGTAATTGTTATTCAAAATTTAATTCGTATCGCAAGGTGTTGCACTACAGCTAACTTAGGGCTCGCGCGCACGGGTGACTTGTCACCGTGACTCTTGGCCGTGCTAAATAAAAGCACTTACTTGGCAGATAGTACGCCTGGCTGACGTGTGGAAGACGTGCAACAAGATCCGCGCCGCCGCCTTCCGCGTGGGCCTCAACCTGTGGGACTGGTACCGGCCGCTCGACCCCGAGGGCAACTCGCTCATATCCGGTAATAACACTATGATTTGTAGATCCTTCTTCCTTCTATCATAAAATCTGTTAAAAGTTACGAACTTGCTTTTTTTTTTAATGGCAACCACATCTCCTCTGTGGGAGGTTTATTTCTGCCAATGTCGAGTTTAATTTTTTATCTTGCAGTAGAACGTGGATGTTTCAGTTTAATTGCTTTTCGTGAATCCGTGAAAATTAGTATTCTCGTAAGCAGGTTTCAAGACGCCGTGGGGTCCAAAGCGGGTTGTTCATACGACAACTCATTCGACACTCGATGCGCGCTCAAATTCGAAGTTTTTAATGTTTTTATACATTATTTATTACTTCACTGTACATTAGAATACAAAATAACACCAAATTTGTACACACGAACTTACGTTGAGGGGAAATGTCATACGTTATCTCCACTTGATAGATAGATATTAATACGAAATTATGAATACTCATTGTATTTTTTTCCTCAACTTTTTGCTTTGGTAGTGATCATACCCGTAGCTCTTTCAGATTATCACTTTCCTACGCAGTATCCGATCGTTTCGGCATACAATCTTTTAAACACTTCAAAAAACTAGGCACGCTCCAACACCGTCGAACGAGGCGTGTTATACTTACGTAGGTGGCACTTGAACACCTACGTGCTTTCGAAGACAGCTTTTACGCGCTTGAAATGCGAATCTGAAGGGCCCTTTTATGTTATTTTCTACTAATATTAAATGTGAATGTTTGTTAATCTTTAACGTAAAAACTACTGAATACATTTTGACGAAATCTTATACAGTAATATTGTGATTATGCAATAAACGATTGAGTATTGAGGCCTATGTTCAGCTGTGGACGATGATGATTACAGTAAAATTGTAACATTTATGGGCTATTGACTATTCGTCGTTAGTGAGAAACCCAACTGTGCGGTGCGGCGCCGCAATACGGCACCGTCTCGCTCAATCGAAGTGCGGTGTGCCTGCGGTGCGGCGCCGGAACGCACCGTCTGGCATATTCATTGATTTTTATATGCAGGACCTGTGTGGCTTCTCCCTAACTCTGGTGTCCCGTTTCAGAGTCGAAGTTCGTGTCGGTGCTAGCCGGGCCCCTACGCTCTGTTGTGGGGCTGTCGGACGCGGAGATCGCGCAGCTGGCCGACTACTTCCGCGCGCAGGACGGCCGCGTGCTCTACCACCAGCTCTGCCAGATCATCCACGGGGAAGGTACGACTCTCGCTGCAGCCTGTCAGCTCTTGTCTACGGCGCTCGGTGGTCGAGCCCTTGCTTTGCTATAACGTGCTAGCTCTTGTTTACGTCAGCGCTTTACCTACCATGTAGGCAGGTCTGCTTAACTCTTTTAAAACCCATGATTTTTGGTTCCAGAAGGAGAAATGTCATCTAATACTCAGATGGGTTTACATTAACTAAGTAGACATTGGATCATAATAAAAAATATCGTAAAAATACATATATCGATCTTTCCTTTTTCTTTTTTTTACATAACTTTTTTTTTTTAATTCTGTCGTCTGGCTAATTACTTATTCAGTTTCCATCCAATATAAAATAAGTGCATAAGCTAAACAAAGCCGCGGGAAAGGTCGATATAAAAAGATTTAATTGAAACAAGGCGAGTAATTGAAGTGGCAAGCACGTGGAAGAGTTATTTTTGCCGCTGCAATTAGCTCAGTGCACACTGCATAGTGCAAGTGCCTTTAGATGGATCACTTCACATTATGTGGGTATTTCTCTGAAACTAGTGATTCAATAAAATGATACCTACCTTACCTGATGATACCTATCATAATAGAAAATGACTTAAAAATGAAATGGAAACGTATAATTTAATCTTATAATAAAATGATTCCTATTCTAATAAGAAAAAGAACGTCAGACGTCATGTTAGGTATATTATTTATAATCGATATTGTAACACATGGAACTATTATTAATAGGTCCCTACTATTATCGCTCTCTTGTGACCGAACGGTCGCGGCCACTGGGTCACGGCGGTCGATACTGAGCCCCAGGTCCCAGCTGAACTGCTTACAAACTAGCTCCACTAACCGACATCTCTCGAGGGTGTAATATTAGTCATTCGACTTATGAGCATCACGTACACGAAGATAATACTCGCTATCCGTCGTTTTTTCGACATTAGAAAGAATTTGTTAGCCAGCAATTCAATTTCTTCCAACTCGTAGAATCGATTCGTCAGGTTTGTAAATTTATCTTGGCATGGAGTAACGATACTTATATTGGCTGTGGGTTGATTGTCAACTCTATTGTAAACTTGTGGCCTCTGAACAGATGCCGGCGGGCGCGACAAGACGTCGGCGGACTGCCTGCTGGAGGCGTGCCCGCCGCCGCCGGAGCCCGCCTGCCACACGCTGGACCAGTGGCAGCTGCGCCGCCTGTGCTGCCTGCTGGCCACCATCGCCGCGCGCGAGATCCCGCTCAAGCCCTACTTCCAGGACTACGAACTGGTACAATGTGACCAATTAACCGCCTCTGTGGTCTAGTGGTAAGACCACCTGCTTTAGAAGCAGAGGTCCCGGGTTCGAATCCCAGTGGGGGCAGATTTTTCTGTTCGGTTTGGTTGGTGGTAGGTATTGTTCTAAGTCCGCCTGGCTAGCTACCACCATCTTACCTAAGTCTGTCGCCATAACAACAATGTTAACAGCATTGTTGTGTTCCGGCAGTTAGAGGTAAGATAGCCAGTTCCTCCGTGGTTGAGGATTCCGGGTGAAGCTCGCTTCCACCTTCGGCCTGATCATCACTTACCATCAGGTGAGATACAGGCCAAGAGCTTCCTCGTTGTGGATTAAAAAAAACCATCTGATTCAAGTGAAATCCTGAAAGTGTACTCCTGAAACACCATCAGTCTGCTTCTCTAGGTGGCGAAAAATGACGGGCGCATAACGTTCGCGCATTTCGCGCGCATCCTGGACTACATCGGCGTGCTGGTGTCGCCCGAGGACTTCAACCTGCTCGTGCGCCGCTTCATCAAGGACTCCTACACGCTGGACTACGTGGAGTTCCTCAAGGCGGTGGAGGCGGTCAAGAAGGAGGGCATTCAGGGGCTTGGCGCTGTGAGTAATTTGATCTTAATAGTCTATTTCGAGAATAGATTTTATGATAGACTAATAATGAAAGGTACCTACAGCCTTGGCCAAAAGTATTGAGCACCCCCTAAATACTGCTTATACGTGATAACTATAAAAGATACTCAAAGATATTTGATAAAAACCTTTCTTTGACAGGTTTTGAAACATAAACTCACGGCACAACGTGCAATAAAACACGTTTCGAGATGTTAAGCTATGATACTGTAGTATTGTTAGTCTTTGAAAAATCATAAAAAATCTTCTTCCGACCTCGCTGCTGAGTTATCAGCTGAAATTAATACGCCGATTTCTGC